AGTTCAATATTTATAGCGTATGTCGTTTACTTGCTGATACTCATCAATAATGATGACCCAGTGTATAGGTTTAGGCAAGAAAAATTAACAAGAATGGAAGTACCTAGTAAGCTTTTTACAAAACTCGACCACAGTAATCGGTTCCCACTCACAATAATTTTTTTTGTCCGCAGACATTGAAATGTGTGTGGCCAACACTGAAATTATTATAACGCAATGCATATTTTACATGACGAATAGTCAAGAAAAGAAATAGTAAGTAAAGAAATTTAAAACAAAATAATTTTTTTTGGCTGGTTAACATTTTTATTACTGACGTTGTTTATATAAATATCCCCGTTTCGCTTTTCTTGTACTTTTGCAACAGTTACGATAACTGCACAAACCCGGCAGGAATAAATTATATTATACCAGGAAATAATTCATCGGATAATGGCCAATTTTGTAAACTGTTCACCACAAATAAAGCCGAATATTTTGCGCCGCCATCCGAAAGTGGTGGCCTGCGTGCGGTCGAGTTTTTATATAAAATCGAAAATCTCACGGCTTCCATACAAAATCAGTGGGCAATCCCTGCGATTCACGTCCAGACATATCATCCAGGTAACTGCAGAACTGAGAATTTTATGGTGGCAAGTACGCCTTTATCAACTTGACAGAGCAAGCTTGACTAGAATGTCAAATTTCTGTTCTATTAATAATACTATGATTTTCAACTGTCTGTAGACTATAACCAAGATTGGAAACCGCCACCTAATGCTCCCAAAGCATTAATATTCGAAACTGACGTGCGGACTGAAAGAAACTCGTTCGTGGGAATGCAGAATTATCTTACAAAGGTGTTTGTTAGATTTATCTAATTGCTACGATCACTTGTACCTCTCTCTCTCTATGTATGATTAAATGAATTGTTCTTACAAATATTTAAAAAGGTTATGGTACGCCAATCAAAAAGTCGTACGATTAACCATAAAACTTTCCTATCAATACTCGGTCTAGAGCCTAAATATTACGATTACCTTTTCATTGACGTTGACGCAAGATATTTCCCCCTTGAGCCTAATTCTACGTTTTCACCTACAAACAACACGGGCGTATTTTCCGTAGAACGTCCTGACGATTCTTCTACACAAGAAGTCAAAGAGCAACAGAGGTAAGGAAAGAAGAAAACTGATGATTTGTTGTACGATATAACTCTCCCATTTTTGTATTAACCATTATTATGATTGGCAGAACAAAAACTTTGTTGTCTTCCTTGGGTATCGCTGGTGGTGCTTTTGGCGTATTACTTAGTCTGTACAGAGTTCTTTTTGGGGAATCTCGATTAAAACCTTGGTAAGCATTAAAAAGCAAATTTTTTACTGTGTTTTTTGTTACACGCTTGCTCATGTAACGTTTTTGCAATCAAACAGGGGTATTTTTCACCGAACATTCATTAAACAAACACAGTTTTCTAACCGACTTCAGTCTCTTCCTTTGGTTAGTCCTGTCCAACCGCCGACTTTGATGTTGTCTTCATCAGAACGGGTTATGCGTCTGGAAAATCGTGTACAAGAACTTGAGGAGCTGTTACAAGAATGTTTCTTTGACACATCATACTTGAAACAAGTTCGTTCAAGTTCCTACGGGGAAGACGAAAGGGTGTAATAATTGACGGTGTGCAGAACAAATTCGAGATGTAGAACGAGGAGTACAATGAGTGGGAAAATATTAACGTAAACGTTCCTCTCATTTTGTCGTGAATGAATAACATCATATCTACGCTTGCTCTGGCTCCGGCGCTGTTGAAATTATATGCACTCTTTTGAAATTAAATAAAAATATTGACATAACGAGCAATACAATTGCGTAAATTTATGATGAAATTAGCACACCTTATAAGCAATACGTACACAAAAAAATTACGATAGTATAGTTATAAATTTACCGAGGACGACCTTATCTTACCATAACGCCGACTTGAATATGTAAAAGACTATTAAAATTTAATCCACATATAACCTTATATATATAAGAGTACGTAAATTCAAAAGCGCTGGAAAACTGCTATCGAATACAAAAAAGATTGGCCAAATATCTTGCTTTGTTGTTGAGAAATTAAAGTTTAAGTTTTTCTACGCTTTGAATGACTTCGGACCATTGTTGACAATACTCTGAAATTATGCATGTGACAAGCACAATGTGCTCTGCATTTAAGCCATTAACATTATTCAGCCCGTACACTTAAACTTTTTAGTGAAAAATGACTGACCGACAAGAGTTAATTTTACGGTAATTGCATTGCTTGTTATGTCAATTATTTGCATTTAATTGCAATCAACCAAAATTTCTCAGCGAAGAAGCATCGAGAAATCTTTTGTAACTCTAATAGCAATTTGTTTGGGCTTTCAAATGAGTGTAAATTTGTGCAATATATGTAGATTCGTTTTTTTAACTTTTTTTTTTTCAATTCACATGTCTAATTGTAACGTTTTTTGTAGAATAAAGGTTGACTCTAGATAAATTTGTCATTATACTATCTGACATATCACAAATTTTTGTGGGCGTATTACTTATAACGTGCGCTAAATTCGGTATTATTTTCATGGCAGTTACATTGCTCGTTATGCCAATATTCCCATATAATCTCAAAAGTAAGCGGTGGTCGGTGACTTTTGGGACGGCATTGTACCATGTTGTACCTGTTCGGGACCTGTCTCAGTTGAGAACCATTATATAATTATAAGAACAATAACACCATTACCGAATAGAGTAATCGTTGAAACAGCATTTTTGCACAATAAATTACATGCTAACGTATTCTTTAAACGAACATATTTATAATGATTTTTATTTAATATACTGTAATTGTACATAGCGTCTGGGAATTTAATGCACAAAGCCACATTAGAATAACGAAACTTATTTGTACAATTCGAATGAACAAAGATATAATTTCAAATATCGTATTTGCCCATTAGTATTAAAGACATTTCTTATGAACTAAAATTGCGACAAGATTGTTAGGAATGAAATCGATTCAAATAATTAGTGTAAATTCTGCTAAATTATCTTCAAAACGATTCATTCAATAGAATGTAATTAAATATTATAGTATCGATTAATTTTAAACGTTGGTTCATAAGCCGCACATAGAATAGCCGTCAAATTGAATGATTAGCGCAAACATGTTTGATAACTCATCAAGCAATAAACAACATGGCAACAGTGAACAGTGTTCTTCTCACCATCGAATAGTCGTCAAAATGAATGATTAGCGTAAACGTGTTTGATAACTCATCAAGCAATAAACAACATGGCGACAGTGAACAGTATACTGCTGTCCTATTTACTCACGTCCTGCACTAATAGACTGTAAACAAGCCACGTTTATTATGCCATTTAATACTCTCAACTTTCAGTTTTTCTCATCAACGAAAAGTCATCGTCACTAACGTTTTTCGTGACTCCCGCATATTCAAATGATATGTCGAGAGGTGTTTACTTACAATTGTTTTGCATCCCCGCACCAACAGAATGATTATTCGTTAACGTATTCAGCAACCCGAAGCATTCTTTCACAACAGAAAAACGTATTCTGTAACTCCAAGCATTCTTTCACAATGATACTGTATGTCGAGCCATACAATTTTGATACTCTCATTTTTCAATTAATATCACTAACGCTCAAGCAGATCATTGTTGCATTACTATAATGCGGCTTTGCGCGTATTACCAGGTACCATTGTCGACATGTTCGTCAAAGCATCGTTCACAGTATTTGCATGTAGTTTATTCTGAAATGTCATGCGAAAATGGATAATTGTCTTGTTACTGTTATTATGTTCAATCACTAGCAAATAAATACGGCTTTGCTTTTTGCTTTATTTTGCAGTGATCACTCTATTGGGTAATGGTAGTGTTGTGAATTTATAGTTCTTATAATAATGAGTTTATATAATTGTCCTCAACTGAGTCAACTTAAACTCAGTCCAGAATGAGACAGGTCCCGAACTGAGGTACAACATACATTGAGGGAAGCATTCTGTTGAAAAGATTTGTGACTTGGTACTTTGGGAATTTTATTGGATTGAAATAATGCTGGATATTTAGTTTATCGAGATTAAGTTCGTTGATATCTAAATTTATTTGGCGTTAAAAAGTTCAAAATGGTGCGATCATCATCACAAAAAATTTTTTTTGCGAAAATAGCACGACCCGTTCTTATTCTGGGATTTGAGAACGGTTTCAAGATTGTCACAAATTTTTTCGACGTTATCACTTATTGTGCACTTTATTGGTGCAAGAGATTATTTTAACATGACAATCCCGAAACGGGTCAAAATCCCGGAACGGGTCATAACAACAATAATACCTGAAAACAAGCAGTGAAATCGTTGTCTGCAAGCTGTGATTACTGACTCTGTTCGGAACAACCAACAGGTCTACTTAATACAATTAGTTACTATACTCAACAAAAGTCGAG